GCTGGATTAGCGGTTTTATATTATTCCCTAAACAGAAAAACACGACCGTTTACTCAGGAAAGGAAAACATAAATCATCTGATTAGGTGACCCAGCACCAATCTCCCTTGTTCAAAGGAAATCTTCTCGGCTTATATGACGCTCAATAACCAATTCCATGGTGGCAACAGTGATCTTGTTGACTAAAAATTACTTGGAATATCGTGTACTCTCTATAGTGTGTTGACTGATGAGTTGAGCGGCGCCAGCGTTAAATTGCGATGTGATTCCATGCAATATCCCGATTTCTTGAACGATTAATACTCATGTCCGTGGATAGCTAACCAGTTCTTGCATTACAGCCAGGCTTCAGGAGATTTCTTCACCATTCTCGCATCACCTGTAGACATTCGTTGATTTATTCAGCTTTCTTGTATCCAGTATAGGCATCCATAGATTTCTACCTGTTGCGGCATAAATATTCACCAGTTATTTAAACATAAAAATTACACATTATTTAAATATATATATATATATATTGAAGCATACGTATTCGTAAAACATCGTTTCAATTTTCTATGAGGCTTTCTTTTGCGTTGATTACAATTTAATTAAAGATGGCGACTCGAACAAAGTGTGATCAAATTATCGCATTGAAAATGTCTGGTATGAAGAATTGAAAGGTGATAAAACAGTTGAATATTTGCAGAAAAAAAATGTTTTTAATGTGACAAAAACTTCAAGAGGAGCAAACAACTTTCCCCAAATCCAATTCCATGAAGAAACCGTTCAGTTCTTACCAGGAGAATCATTGAAGCCGTGAATGGAAACCTACAAAGAGGAATGACAGAAGAGGTGTATATTATGGATAGGGCGATAAGGTGGGTTGTAATGGAGGATTTAGGGTTAATACCATGCAAGATTCAACGGCGACATCTACTCTCAAGTGCTTCCAAGCAAGAAAAAGGAAAAAGAAATCTTGTAGGAGATGATTTGTTTGGTCGGGTCAGAAGTTTTTCACTGTTGAAGCATTGGTTAACTGCCAAAAGAATGTACACAACTCCATTGCAAAACATTTCCGAAGGTGTCAGAACATATTTCAAGCGACAGAAACGAACTGGCGTCATGATTTGGGCTGCTGTTGATTCTGTTGGTTCAAAATCGCCCTTGTTCTTCATTAAAATAAGGTGTGAATGTAAATAGAAGTAATTCTCAGAGAGAGAGATGTATTTCCCTGATTGCCAGCTACATTTGGAAGTCGTTATGTCTTCACCCAAAACTGAGCTCCGGCACATACGCTAAATTTGACTTAGATTTTTAACAAGTCAATTTGGTCTCAATCGAACTCTGACATTAATAATATGGACTTTGTGATATAGGCCTTATTGGAGAGCGATATTTCACTTATCACATATTCAAGTGTATCAGACCTAAAAGAAGCTCTCATTACATAGTGATACAATTTGAGCAAAGTGGTGGTAAAGTTATACCCTTCAGTTATGAAGAGATTAATGACTATGCTGAAAGCAAATTGTGTGTGTGTGTTTCTGTGTGTTTGTATGTGTGTGTTGGTAGATACATGATATTAGTTTTGTTTATAAAATCCTGTTTTGGTTTGGTTGATCTTGTTTGGCGGCATACCAACCTCTATTGGTTATTTGATGCTTTGAGGAAGCAATGACAATCAAAGAGCTCCTTTCATTTTCTCCACTGTTTATTAAATGACTTTAATTCTTGAGGCGCATAATATAAACTAATCTATTTTTCTCGTGTGTAACGTTTCCATCTAGCCCAAATATACTATGTTAAAAATATTGAATAATATATTTATTTAAAAAGAAAAGTATCAACATTTAACTTGGAACATTTCGGTGCATCATGTTTGTTTTTTCCTGACACTACAGGCTAGGGGTTGCATAAAGATGTTTATCTCCAGATAACTCTTTCTTGCCATAAATAATCATTATCTCGATAATACATACTATATGCAGATGATCTATCAAATAATATAATCAATACGTGGAGATTACTTCCAAATTTTTCTGTCAGGATGCTAGATTGTTGTCGTTCTATACACGATTATAAAAATGAAGTGGAACGCTTTCACACTCTTTCGCTCGGAGACATAGTAACGACAACTTTCGCTACTTTTTCATTCCACAGAGACATCCTCGTGGCAACCGACTACTTAATTTAAAACCAACCACGCGTCGAACATGAACACATAAATACGCACATGCATCCACTCACTACAGCTAATACCATAATTTTTTTAATTTCTTTTTATTAACTCTATCTGTATAGGCGCAAATATAATTTTCTCTTTATTTTTTTATTTTTTTATTTATTTTTTGGGCGATGTTACTTTTTCACCATTGCCAAAGAAGGCAATAAAGACAATAACACGTAATATAAAAAATGAAGAAAATTATTAAGGAAAGAGGACTCTAAAAGAACGGATATTAAAAGACCGAATATACCAACTCACACTGCATTTACATTTTTCAAGATCAAAGTTGACTGGAAAATAAGAAGCCGTAAGAAACGAGAATATAAATTATTATAAAATTATGAGACCTAGCTGCCAAACTAGTACTGCGCGTAAATTTATAAAGCCGAGTGAAGAGGAATGCTCATCAGAGTAATTATCATTAAATATGTACAGAAAAGTTTTCGCAAAGCGACGTTACGGCGGTGGGAATGTGCCAAAAGCTGTGATAGCAGGTCAGGACCGATGCAGGGATAATTATTCATGCTTGACGTGCCGCTGCAAATACCCCTATATTATGTAACCTCTTACCAGAGCTGCCCTTTTAAGTGCTACCAAAGAGTTCGGTCTACCAGTCGCAATATAGCAACCAAAATACTGCCACTCCGGTAGTCTCGAAATGTGCCACAATCACATAACAACCAGATCACCAAAAAGTTAATACAGTTAAATCATTAAGGACATGATAAAAAGAAGACGGTAAACCATATTCTAAAGAGGAGAAAAGTAAAAAACCAATACTACTGTTCAAAAACTATGGAAGGACAACTGGCGATAAATAAACATATCTACTAATATTAACCTGTTCACAGTGCAAGCGGCTGAGAGTTTTTATCAAAACTTCATCGCTTGGAAGGTTATATATATATATATATATATATATATATATATATATATATACACCGGGTGTAACAACAAAATTGTCCAATTGTTAGCTAAGCTTTGAACCGTTGTATCTTAGAAATGATTTAAAGATTTACTGGAATTCTCAGAGGTTTTATGACACTATTGAACTCTAATTTGAGAAATAAGAATGTATTCTCTAAACTTAATAGAACAATCGTGAAGAAATCGGTCATAAATGAAAATGAGATGTTCATCATTAATAAATCAATGGTAAAGATTGGAAGTTCATGAAGGACTGAAATTAAATTTAAACACACACACACACACACACACACACATATATATATATATATATATATATATATATATATATTATTCCAGGATGAGGATCATTTTTCAACTTATTCAAGATGTTTTCAGACCATCTAACTTTCTATTATGGATCAACAAGTTTCCTTATAGTCTCACGTACGATTTCATTTTGATGTCTTTTTTCACTGCTCTTTTGACTGTCATAGTTGCTCACGTGCTAGAGGTTTTATGCGTTGACTTGGATCTTTTCTAAATTGATCTCTTTAGGTCTAAGTTGATATGACGATCTTTCTCGCTGTTGTGACCTCCTGATCCTGTTTTCCTCTCTACTGTTACCCCTTTTCTCAAATTATTTACCGTTTTCTTGATGATTCTTATATGGACTTTGAAGATGGAAGCAAGAATATGAATGTTCGTACCATTACTGATGTCCTGAATGAAAATTTTCCTCTCACTATTGCTCATTTGGGAATACAGTAGGGCTGACACAAAACGATTTCGATCTGTTCTCTTTCTATCTGAACAACTCAAAGTATGTTTCTGTGATTCGTATGTCAAATGGTGTCAAGATGGCTAAATGTCTCATCTGAAACTCTGGAAAAAAGACAACTTAGTTTAGTTATTTTTAGATATTAAACATTTTGTGGGACTGACAATTTTGTTGTTACACACGTTATATATTAAACTCCTCCACGTGTTGAATAATTTCTTGTAAATATGTTAAAATCATTTATTTTGAAAGTTTATAAATGCATCAGTTACAACAGCAAACACATACATTAAAGTCCTACAAGTATAACTTTAGATGATAGTCGTCTAATATCTATAGTAAAAGTAAATTTATTATTAAACCATATTTTGTATTAGGAATTGTTTTAGGAACTCGCAAATATTTCTTTTTTAGAAAATCAACATTTTATGCCTCCATCTCAAACCAAAAATGGTGCAAGATGAAGATATATTTTGAAAGTTTAGGATTGGGATTAGGCATTTGTTTTTATTAATACTGAGCAAATCTTATAAAATAATAGTCATTTTGATAACAAAGAAAAATAATAATAGCATCAACGACACTCAAATCTCTGCGCATGCGTATTTGTCATGTCAGTTCATACGGATGTCACACTATTTTTATGAAATTATGGCTTGAATTGATTTCTTTATTTTTTATTTTTCGAATAGTGTCTCTAAAACATTCCCTTGCACAAAATAGGGCATAGATAATTATATATGCATTTATTTATTTACACAATACGTTCTCCAAATTTTAACGCGATTATCTGCTGCCATTTTCTATCTAATAATTATTGGTTTTGATTGTGTATATATTTATATATGAGAGAGAGAGAGAGAGAGAGAGGGAGAAAGAAAGAAAGGTTTTTGAAAGAGGAAGACTTTAGCGAACGCTTGGCATGTGACCAAAGAATATTTAATAATTCACGTCCGACCTGCTGAGAAACGGACAAGACTTGGCAGTGGCCGATTCGAAACAATTAGAATAAATTTTCGCTATTTTTGCAAATAAACATCCAACGACGTATCTAATTGCCGATCAGTCGTTCCCAAGATGCTAGACGATTTGAAAGTTGTCAAAAATGCGACAAGAACAAAAGCAAGATGCGTTGATACCAATTTTCTTCTCCCTTTTTCCGCTTTTTCTTCTTCTTCTTAGCTTCTTCTTTTCTCCGTTTCTTCTTCTTCCTTTCCTTCTTCTTCCCGCTTCTTTTCGTTTCTCCTTCCTCTTCCGCTTCTTTTTCTTCCTTCCGTTTTTCTTCTTGCTTCTTCTTCTTCCCATTTTTTCTTCTACTTCTTCTTTCCGTTTCTTCTTCTTCTTCTCCTACTTCTTCTTTCCGCTTTTTTTCTTCCTTCCGTTTCTTCTTCCCGATTCTTCTTCTTGTTCTTCTTCTCTATTGCTTCTTCTTCTTCTTCTCTATTTCTTCTTCTTCTCTACTTCTTCTTCTTCTTCTTCTTCTTCTTCTCTATTCCTTCTTCTTCTCTATTCTTCTTTCTTCTTCTTTCCTTCTTTTTCTATTGCTTCTTCTTCTTCTTATTATTCTTCTTCTTTTCTTCTTCTTCTTCTATTCTTCTTCTTCTATTGCTTCTTCTTCTTCTTCTCTATTTCTTCTTCTTCTCTATTGCTTCTTCTTCTTCTTCTTCTTCTTCTCTATTCCTTCTTCTTCTCTATTGCCTTCTTCTTCTTCTCTATTCCTTCTTCTTCTCTATTGCTTCTTCTTCTTCTTCTTCTTCTCTTATTCAGTTTCTTCTCTATTGCTTCTTCTTCTTCTTCTTCTTCTCTATTGCTTCTTCTCTATTCCTTCTTCTTCTTCTTCTTCTCTATTCCTTCTTCTCTATTCCTTCTTCTTCTTCTTCTTCTCTATTCCTTCTTCTCTATTCCTTCTTCTTCTTCTTCTTCTTCTTCTCTATTGCTTCTTCTTCTTCCCTTTCTGCTTATTCTTCTTCTCCCATTTTTGTTTTTTCTTGTTCTTCTTCGTTTTTTTCTTTCTTTTCTTTTTCTTCGTTTTCTGTTGGATCTTCTTCTTCCTTTCCTGTTTGTTCCTACGGTTCATCTTGCTATTCTTCTTTTTTCTTCTTCTTCTTCCTTTCTTTTTCTTCCTTCCTTTTCTTCTTCATTTTTTTATGCTACTTCTTTTTTATCCGCTTCTACTTCTTTTTTTTATTAAAATATTTCTATTTGCACGGCGATGGCCTGATAGACTGGAACTAAACTTATGGATTATTATATTACAATTATGGGTGTCTCTTCCTTTCTTATTCAGTCCGTCCGTTAGTTCGTTAGCGCGTACCTTATCTCCTGACAATACCTCATAAATAATAGACTATTCCATTTTGGACATATCACAGAGGCTGTTCGAATTTTCTTTCTGACAAGTATGTAATAGAAGCCTGACATAATAATGACGTCGTTCTATCATGGCACATAATCCTTTTCCTGACTCCCTTACACTGTAGATTCAAAAAATCATTCGTGGATAAATTATCGACGGTAAAACAAGCCCGTACAAATAGAATTTGTAATACGGAATCAAAGCAAGTAGCATGCATCTTTCAAGTATTTCAAATACTACTAAATCAAAAATGACTAAAAATCTGGATTCAAAATGTTTATATAACGCATTGAATAAGAGCTATATGAAGGAGGAAACAGTTAATTTGATTAACTTTCACCATTAAAAATTCGATACAAGAAATTTAATTTTCACTCAGACGTGCATATATATATATATATATATATATATATATAAGAATGAAAGAACAGTAAGTTATACAATCCGGTAAGCTTATTGATATTTGTTTATTTTTATTTTTACAACACAGTGCTCAATATAAATTTACAGAGCATAAATATTATAAATTAACTGATTGTAAATATGTTTTTTCTCTACACAGTAATATCCATGTTTCAAAAATGGAAGCTAAGAACTTTAAATTTAATTATATAATTTAATTAAAAGCATTAGTTCCATTTCATCTTCAAGCGAATATTTGAACAACTTACTTATTAAAATAAATTATTCCAATATTCGCTTGATGATGAAACGGAAATAATGCTTTTAATTAAATTATATAATTAAATGGGAGATGGATTACAAAATTTGAATAGGGAGTTAATTTTTTTTTTTTTTTTTGATGAATCTAGATATAAGTTTAATTTAAGATGGCAAACCGTAAATATAAGTTATAGGTTAAGTGCGGGTTTGTAATTTCTGCCTGTCGATACTGGCTTCCTTATATGAGAACGTGTCATCCCGTCTGTTTTTTTTATTTATTTATTTAGGGGCATGCATAGGATACACTAAATATATTGGCTATTTTTTATTATTTATTTTTTATAAAATACATTGGGATTGTCTTGAAGTTTGAGTCATATTTTTTATATTTATATTTTTTATTTATAAAGATCTAAAATACTATATTTATTGTTTATTAGTATACTAGATACAGTATTGTTATAATTAAGATTTAAAACTTTTGGAATGTAATTACGCATTTTCTTACTTTCTTATTTGTGATGAGCTAATAGAAATATTATAATGAATTTTTTTTAATTAATTTACAGTAAACATAATGTAGTGTCTAAAAACAGTTATTTCTTTCCTTTGATTTCATAAATCTTTACTTTTAGAAACTCAATATATAACTTTTCATGTAGACACAAAGGGCATGGGGTCATTTAAAGACCTTCTCATTCATAATAAGGAACAGTGGTTAAAAATTCAAAAGACTATTTTAATATTACAATGGGCTGCAGAGTCTTCCGATTTTGTTGGTCTATTTATTATATATAATCTGAGTTCACACCGTGACATTAATATTGAAGATATTAGACTGTATAGGAATGATGGCCTTATGGTTGTGAGGAAGTCTACAAACTTCAAAATTGGTAAGATTAGAAAACTGATACATATAGAATTTAAGTGTCTAAATTTGAAAGATACTATTAATACAAAATTAAAAAAGGTAGATTTCCTCAATATAACATTAATGAAAAATATATACCAACCTTATATAAAACCTAATACCAATCCTTTATATATCTACCCGAAGTCAAATCATCCGCATCTATAACAAAGCATGTACCTTCATCCATTGAAAAACGAATAAATGTAAATACTTCTAATGAAAGAATATTCTATGAAGACAGTATTTTTTATAATAAAGCTTTCAAGAATAATGGCTGTAAATGCCCTGACATTAAATATAAAAAAAATAATAATAAAAACAACCAGAGAAGAAATATAAATAGAAAAATCATTTGGTACACACCCCCATTCAACTAAATGGTTCGTAGTAAGTTAGGACATAAATTACTTGCTTTAACTGAAAAAAAAACAAAACATTTCCCTAGAAATAATACACTTTGGCAATTTTGAATTAAAATACTCTGAAATTAAGTTATAGTTGTACTGAGAATTTAGAAAAAAAATATAAAAGCACAATAATAAAATTTTAAATACATACTTTAACCAGAATAAAAAATAGCGATCCAGAAATAAGAATAAATAATAGTAAAGAAACATTATGTAACTGTAGGAATTCCATTGAATAATAAATGTCTCACAGAATCTATAATTTACCAATGTACTATCTCATCTATTGAGAATCCTAATATTAAAAATTTTATATAGGTAGCACAAAAAATAAATTTAAATTAAGGCTGAGCCAACATCTGTCTTCCTTCAAAAATAATGCGTATCGTAACCAAACATATTTTTGGCATTTAAAAGAAAGAAATAAAACACCCACAGCAAAATGGAAATTAATTAATAAAAAGGTGAACTTGTAGGTCTTTAAATGACCCATGACCTTTGTGCCTATATGAAAAGTTATATATTATTAATTTTCTAAAATTAAGGTTTTATTAAATCAAAGAAAAAGAAAATAACTGTGCCATCTTAAATTAGACTTGTATTCTGCTTCGTCAGAAAAGGCAACACCCTTTTTAAAATGTTATAATCTCTGTCCCCCTTCAGCTTAAACAATATAATAATATTTAGCTTAATAAAAGTAATTCATTTTTTTCGAAAATTATTGAGAATGGAACAAAAATTTTAATTTTAATTTAAAATTATGTTTTTAGTTCCGAAACATGGTAATTTTTGAGTCACGATGAATACATATTTTAATAATAATAATATATATATATATATATATATATATATATATATATATATATATATATAAAATGATATAGTATATATAAGTGTGTGCAGGTGTTTGTGAAGATAAGGCAAAAGTGGAAAATTTATTAACGACGCATTTCAATGAGAGCTTGTACCCTTTTTAGTTTACTCAGGTTAGAAGAAATAAAAAATAAAACTCTATATGAGTTAAATGTCTTGAAAATTTGAAGTGGTGAACATAACTCAAATTAAATTAGATTGTCTCATCCCTCTAATATCCAGATTCAAAAGTTCTCCTGAATATATATATATATATATATATATATATATATATATATATATATATATATATATATATATATATAGCCATTTGGTGTTGTTGGATTTTATATCCGTGCACAAAAACTAGCGAGAGTGTTTTTTATTTTAGGTATACTTGGATTATAGGTGTATACACCCACCCAGGCATATACATGTATTACAACCTGTTTTGTATAATATCAGGAACAGCACCCCATATAAAAAACGGTTTTAATATATATATATATGTCTGTGTGTGTGTGTGTGTGTGTGTGTGTGTGTGTGTGTGTGTGTGTTTGTATATACGTATGTGTACATGGGTATATATGAGAACACACACACACATATATATATATATTTGTGAAAATATATAAAAAATAGGAAAGAACTGGTTAGGTAGATCCAATGTTCCTTAGTATTTTAGTTATTATTTTTAAAAAATAGTGCTCGATACAAATGTAGAGCATAAATATAATTATTTATGTCACGAGTTGGAATCATATTTTAAATAAATAATTATATATATATATATACATATATATATATATATATATATATATATATATATATATATTCTATTTATACGTTAATTTATGGATTCAATTTATTTGAGTTAATGTTCTGTTTTTAATTAAACATTATTAATTACATTTACCGGCTTGAATTTTCGAGAAATTTCCTAGAAATTATGCGTTGTCCGACAGGAATCGAACCTGTATCCTATATGGACACCATCATTTCGCCTGACCATTTAACTACAGAAAAACTTCCGGTTAGCAAAGCTTAAATTACAGAATATTTGGAAAGTCACTCCCTGTTTTATACATGATGGATTCTACCATCTTGTAAAAATTATAGTTAGACGGGAGAGACCATGAGTCTGTGTGTGTGTACATGCTCCCTTAACATAGGGTTTATCGGCTCACAGGGTGAGAGCCTTATGCCGATTTCAAATCTCGGCCGATATCGTTGCATTCATTTTCGCACGAAAAGTACCGCTTCTACTCGAGTTATTATTATTATTTAATCCGGGATCCTATCCGAATATTAGATGACCCAGGCAGGGAACGAGGATCATATCTCTGTTCCTAGCCGAAGCTTACACGCACAACACTTCCCCCAGTACATGAGTTGTTTCAAGCAGTTCTGCCACCTGGGCCACCTGGGCTACCTGGGCTTTCTCAATAATATCAGGTAACCCCAAAACGTCGTTCGAGGCGGATATATTCCTGGAGATAATCGCGAGTGCGCCAAGCACAAAAGGGATATTTTTGGTTGCTTCTTGGTCTATTTCCCTGATTTGTTCTGCCAGAACTTCGTGCCAACGTAATTTCGCTTACACCGCCAACCACTGTTCTTGTCCTAAGAGACAAGACATTATATATTTTCCTGGCTTCGCAGTTTGATAGAATTCTTTATCAAGGCTTTCTTCTTAGACAGCAAGTAAAAGAAGATGTCTCTTCAAAAGTTATTTTTTTCAGAAAGCGGTGGGTTTCCTGGGACTTTCCTCATTTGTGTGTCGGTATTTTTTTAATCATTCCTAGTGTTCCTAATATTATCGGAATTGTCACTGTGTTTAAATACCACTATTTCCAGGCCTTTCTATTTTGAAAGGATATACGCATAACGTAATGATTATAGTATGAAAAGCGCGATCAACGGCCCCTGTTCTAGATTGCCGAGAATGACAAAAATTAAAAGTTGCGACGGCGATAAAATCGTGATACCAGTGGCCTTACCCAGCTAGTAATGTGGCAATATTTAAAGGATAAAAAAATAACAAATACTGTGAGCGATTAAACTGAATTGATACCGAAAAATTGGTGGGCCAAGGAGTTATTTTGGAAGTTTATATTATTATTATTATTATTATTTCCTTTGATTTCTGTTGTATACTCATTTCCTCTCGGGTTCTAAGAAGAGACCCAAGGTCAGAAAAAGCATCATAACATTTTCACTGGGCATTTTTGAACCCAAAGCATACGTATTTTACACCCTTCGAAAGATTCTGCTTCTTCTTCTCTTTCTCGTCTTCTCTTTCTCTTCTTTCTTCTTCTCTTTCTCTTCTTTCTCCTTCTTCTTCTTTCTCTTCTTTCTTCTTTCTTTTTCTCTTTCTGATTCTTCTACTTCTTAATAATAAGATTTACAAATTGGAGATACCAAAATTTTATAAGAGCTAAATCTTCTTCTGTTCCTTCTTATTATTCTGTTTCTTCTTCTTCTTCTTCTTCTTCTTAATAATAATAATAATAATACAAGTGCTAAATCTTATTTATCAAGGAACTATTTTTAACGTAGGGGAGAAAAATGTGACACCGACATACGAAGGTGCATTGGGATAGCAAAAATGCCTTCCAAAAGATAAGCAAAGTATTAAGAAACGGGAAAATTACATTGGAATAAAAAAAGAAGTGCTGAACTATTATGATATATCGGTACTCCAATATGGAAGTGAATGCTGGACCGTCTCATCAGAAATGAAAAACACAACGGAAACAGAAATGCAGTTCTACAGAAGGATGCTGAAAATACACATAAATTATCTAGCGACCTTGTGTAAATATTTGGCAGTACAGGTATTAGTGGATATAGCAAAAAGAAAAAAGTTACTAAGAGCTTTAAATGAGAGGAAGTTGGGGAAATCTTTGATCGCCTACGTCCTAAAGGAGCACGCACCATTGAAGAAGACGTGTTTAGTTTTCAAGTGACTGGTAGCTTATATTGGTAAGCAAGTCACAATTTTCTCAATATGCCATGATATTTTTTGATATTCTAATAGTTCCGTTATTTTTTATTTTAATTTCTGCAACCTCTTTGTTTGGCTCTTCGCTCCAAGTTATCTGATAAAGACTGACATGACAGTTACCTTTGTGTTCTACAGCTTCCGAGGCTCTCTGTCAAAATATATATATTTATCTTTTCGCTTTCTTCCAGACCTCTGTGATTTGCGAACCAAAATGTTGGCAAGATTCCATATTTATTGCTATCAGATCCTCCATCCTCCACCATCATTATCATCATTATTATTATTGCATTAATGAGTGCCCGGGAAAGTGGGGGCGTGGAAAGAGTAATTAGTGCATTTCTTTTGTTTGTGTCTTCTAATATACCTGTGTTGGATCACTCCCTACATTAGTGCTATGGTTAAGTTTATGTGTGGCAATTCGCCATGCTGTAATGTATAGCAAACTGTTCGGAAAGATTATTACGAAAAAGTTCAATCATTGCTTGCTGTGAAAACCTGGCCTTGAGCCAAACCTAATTTAGGCTGAGTAAACAGCTATTTAAGTCTACAAATTTATGCTAGACATTTCGTCGCAATAAATGTAAGAAATCTTCTCCACCGCCGCCATAGGCGAAGTTAGAATCGAAAAAGATATACACATACGATGGAATAAATTCACTTTGATTTAATTATTGTCCTTCTCTTCTATGAGTAGTGTCCCTTTAGAACATTGACAATCAAGGCTATCCACGGTTTTCTTTCCTTTATAGCACTTAGTAAAGTTTGTTTTTTTAGCTTTCTCTCTTAATCCCTATTCTGCTAACCATTCATACCAGCTAGTTAGGTATGTTATTCGCTGCTTTTTCCAGTCCAAGCGTTCATTATGTTTTGGGAGTGTCACATTTTCTAAGCACTCTTTCCTCATGTGTCCTAAAAATTTAAATTACTGAACTCACACTCTTTGGGTCCTGTCACTGAATCAAACTATCGCCTTTATCCACTGACAGGACCCAAAAGGGTATGAGTTCAATTCCCGGTTAAGGCATTCGAGAACTTCGCGAGGAGAATTAACAGGAGATAAATGATAACTAACATCAAATAGACATGGCACTTGGAACTAGAACAGTCTACCCCAGTGAGCGAAATAAAGGGTTCAGTTCGACATTCCAACCACATGAAGAAGGCCGGAGCGTACAACGTTGTGATAAATATGGCGACAAAGATGAGGACAATAGTCCGAATAATGTAAATAGTGTACATAATACTTCATCTCAGAAATATAGACAGATACTGAAGGATCGGATAAATATGGCGACAAAGATAAGGGCAATAATTCGAATAATGTAAATAGTGTACATAATACTTCATCTCAGAAATATAGAGAGATACTGGAGGATCGGAAAAATATGGCGACAAAGATGAGGACAATAGTCCGAATAATGTAAATAGTGTACATAATACTTCATCTCAGAAATATAGACAGATACTGAAGGATCGGATAAATATGGCGACAAAGATAAGGGCAATAATTCGAATAATGTAAATAGTGTACATAATACTTCATCTCAGAAATATAGAGAGATACTGAAGGATCGGATAAATATGGCAACAAAGATGAGGACAATAGTCCGAATAATGTAAATAATGCAAGGAATCATAATACTTCATCTCAGAAATATAGACAGATACTGAAGGATCGGATAAATATGGCGACAAAGATAAGGGCAATAATCCGAATAATGTAAAATGCAAGTGTACATAATACTTCATCTCAGAAATATAGACATTCTGGAGGATCGGATAAATATGGCGACAAAGATGAGGACAATAGTCCGAATAATGTAAATAGTGAACATAATACTTCATCTCAGAAATATAGACAGATAAAAGGATCGGATAAATATGGAACAAAGATAAGGGCAATAATCCGAATAATGTAAATAATGAATCATAATACCTCATCTCAGAAATATAGACATACTGATTTTCGGATAAATATGGCAATGAAGACAAAGAATAGGACAATAGTCCGAATAATGTAAATAGTGTACATAATACTTCATCTCAGAAATATAGACAGATACTGAAGGATCGGATAAATATGGCGACAAAGATGAGGACAATAGTCCGAATAATGTAAATAGTGTACATAATACTTCATCTCAGAAATATAGAGAGATACTGAAGGATCGGATAAATATGGCGACAAAGATGAGGACAATAGTCCGAATAATGTAAATAGTGTACATAATACTTCATCTCAGAAATATAGACAGATACTGAAGGATCGGATAAATATGGCGACAAAGATAAGGGCAATAATTCGAATAATGTAAATAGTGTACATAATACTTCATCTCAGAAATATAGAGAGATACTGAAGGATCGGATAAATATGGCGACAAAGATGAGGACAATAGTCCGAATAATGTAAATAGTGTACATAATACTTCATCTCAGAAATATAGACAGATACTGAAGGATCGGATAAATATGGCGACAAAGATAGAGGGCAATAATTCGAATAATGTAAATAAGTGTATCATAATACTTCATCTCAGAAATATAGAGAGATACTGAAGGATGGATAAATATGGCGACAAAGATGAGGACAATAGTCCGAATAATGTAAAATAATTTACATAATAATTCATCTCAGAAATATAGACAGATACTGAAGGATCGGATAAATATGGCGACAAAGATAAGGACAATAGTTCGAATAATGTAAATAGTGTACATAATACCTCATCTCAGAAATATACTGAGATACTGAAGGATCGGTAATAAATATGGCGACAAAGATGAGGACAATAGTTCCGAATAATGTAAATAGTGTACATTTTTCATCTCAGAAATCTCAGAGATAGAAGATACTGAAAGGATTGTAATAAATATGGCGACAAAGATAAGGACAATAGTTCGAATAATGTAAATAGTGTACATAATACTTCATCTCAGAAATATAGACATACTGAAGGATCGGATAAATATGGCGACAAAGATGAGGACAATAGTCCGAATAATGTAAATAGTGTACATAATACTTCATCTCAGAAATATAGACAGATACTGAAGGATCGGTTGTGCTATTAAATATGGCGACAAAGATGAGGACAATAGTCCGAATAATGTAAATAGTGTACATAATACTTCATCTCAGAAATATAGACAGATACTGAAGGATCGAAACGTTGTAATAAATATGGCGACAAAGATGAGAACAATAGTTCGAATAATGTAAATAGTGTACATAATACTTCATCTCAGAAATATAGACAGATACTGAAGGTTCGGATAAATATGGCGACAAAGATGAGGACAATAGTCCGAATAATGTAAATAGTGTACATAATACTTCATCTCAGAAATATAGACAGATACTGAAGGGGAAACGGATAAATATGGCGACAAAGATGAGGGCAATAGTTCGAATAATGTAAATAGTGTACAAAATACTTCATCTCAGAAATATAGAGATACTGAAGGATCGGATAAATATGGCGACAAAGATGAGGACAATAGTCCGAATAATATAAATAGTGTACATAATACTTCATCTCAGAAATATAGACAGATACTGAAGGATCGGATAAATATGAAAACAAAGATGAGGGCAATAGTTCGAATAATGTAAAAATAGTGTACATAATACTTCATCTCAGAAATATAGAGAGATACTGAAAGGAAACGTTGTAATAAATATGGCGACAAAGATGAGGACAATAGTCCGAATAATGTAAATAATGTACATAATACTTCATCTCAGAAATATAGACAGATACTGAAAGGACGTTGGATAAATATGGCGACAAAGATGAGAACAATAGTTCGAATAATGTAAATAGTGTACATAATACCTTCATCTCAGAAATATAGACAGATACTGAAGAATCGGATAAATATGGCGACAAAGATGAGGACAATAGTCCGAATAATGTAAATAGTGTACATAATACTTCATCTCAGAAATATAGACAGATACTGAAGGGGAAACGTTCGGATAAATATGGCGACAAAGATGAGGACAATAGTTCGAATAATGTAAATAGTGTACATAATACTTCATCTCAGAAATATAGACAGATACTGAAGGATCGTTGATAAATATGGCGACAAAGATGAGGACAATAGTCCGAATAATGTAAATAAGTGTACATAATACTTCATCTCAGAAATATAGACAGATACTGAAGGTTCGGATAAATATGGCGACAAAGATAAGGGCAATAATTCGAATAATGTAAAATAGTGTTTTATCAATACTTCATCTCAGAAATATAGACAGATACTGAAGGATCGGATAAATATGGCGACAAAGATGAGGACAATAGTCCGAATAATGTAAAAATGCAAGTGTACATAATACTTCATCTCAGAAATATAGACAGAT